TTTGCATCAAATTATCTCGGCGTGCCGTTAAAGAATACAGCTCTATTCACACACTTTGAACCCTCTGTCCAATTTTGTCACATTATAACCACAAACTTTAAAGAGTTTTCCTGTAATTTTATGTTCATAACATAAAATAATAATCTATAAAGTGTGGCATGCTTTTAATTTAAATCTGGAAGAGTCTCTCTGTAGGTTTAGGGCCTCAAAAAGCCTAATGTCTTCAGCAACCTCCAATTTCTTCCTGTACCTAGAGGTGACCTATTATGCTTCCTTAAACAGGTTATGATGCGTGTGGCCTATTCAAAACATGTTCACCTCATGTTTTTGCACAAAATCATGCTCGGATAATATTTTAGCCTGATCAGTTTTGCCTATTCTGCCTCCCCCCAACTCAACGTTTATAATCGCCCCTGAAAATGGCTGCAAACAGATGCACAATTGTACAACCGGACATCTTTGAAAAGCAGAAGTGGAGCCTCCTGTACAACCAGCAAGAATGCAACAAGTGGTATCTGCATAGCAAGTCAACAGCTAAACTCTCGTCTTTCCCAGCGGTAAACCCAGCTAACCAAACATGCTGGAGCTCAGCTTGGGTTGCTAGGTAACTGGGTGGTCTTAACTGGGGTTGCTAGGTAACGGCTGCCTGCTGATTTGTGATGTTACATTCCAGAGGACTTTGAAACAGCTCTTTTTCTGGGCATCAAAAACACATTAATTTATTGCTAAAAACTGTCTGGGTGTTTTTTTAAGTGCTTGGTCTGTTTTTAGAAGCAGTGGGAACCCAAATGAAGTAATAAAACTTTGTAATACGTCCCCTTTAAATAATTTTAATTCAACCAAGAAGTTTGTTTCTAAGAGAAAATGAGACAAACGGAGTAAACGAGTAACAATTTTGAGGAAAATGACTTTTACATTTTTCAATGATTAATTGATTATTATAGCAATCGGACTCTCCTCATACTTTCCCAACTTTTTGTATATTTTTACTGGTATTTTTGTGGTTATACTTGGAGATGTGCTACAAATGTTTTAGGTTGGAAAGCCTCATTGCCATCACCCTAATCTTTATATCCGCTCAGACTCTGAGTCACATACAAGACAGGACGCCCGTTTCCAAGTATCAGTAAAATTACTAAATAATTCATTTCTGACTTTTTTTCCAACAACAATTCATTTGTTTCTGTATGCACACTGCAAAAAACACAAAATCCTACCAAGTAATTTAATTTAGTTTCTAGTAAAAATATCTTAGTTCACTTAAAATAAGATGAAACTAACTTATAAGTAACTTTTCAGGAAGAAACGGTAGCTTAGTTTAAACCAATGATTCATTAATTTTGATATTAGTTACTTGTTCCATTGGAGGATTACTTCATTTTTACCATATTTAAAATAATCTGCCAGAGGAACAAGTGTTTTTCCATCAAAATAAAGAATGACAAGCTCATATTTCTTCCTGAAAATTACTTGCAAGTTAGTTTTGCCTCATTTCAAGTTGATATAAAATATTTGCACTCGAAGCCAGGCAGAAATACCTGGTAAAATTTGGTGGTTTTTTTTCAGTGCGGTTTGTTTCAAAGTGGGTGAAAAATGTCACATAAAATTCCTGTAAAAAAATGTTGAAGCTTTTTAGTTGTAAGGTGACAGAAGCAATGCCTTTGCATGGTGCTCTGCATACATCTGCTAAATGGAGGTTGACTTTCCAGGCCAGCTTAGCAGCCACCATTTTTATTTTTTTTAGCTTCACTCCTGCTGCTCCACAGCTGTTTGATCTCGTCTTGATGCAAAGCCTCCGCCGCCTCCTCCTTTAGGATGTTTGATATTGGAGTTCAGAGCTCGCAGCCACGTTTTTTTGCTGTTCCACTGCATCCAATCATTTCACCATCAGATATCTTCAAAGAGAAACACCAACTTTCCAAAAGCTGGAGTTTTACTCTGGTGTTGTTTGTTTGGATTAGCGGTTTCCTGCAGTAAACGCGAGTTAAAATGAAACATCTTGTATCATCAGCCTCAGGCTCTGAGTTGTTGTAGCAATCAGATAATTTATTTATTTATTTTTTACCATATCCTGATTTCTTGTGTCTTCTGTGCATTGATCTCCAGTTCTGCTTCTCCTCTATGAGACCTTTCCTCCTCCATTGCTTATTTATTATTCATCACTCCCAGCTCTTTCTGCTGGACCATAATACCCATTACCTCCAGATTCTGCCATCTGTAAAACAATGCTGCCCCAGATGCTGCTTTACCTGGAGAAACTGGGAGAAAGCAGATTATGCAAAGTGAACATTGTTCATAATCCTTAAGCAAAACACTTTGAGTTTGCACAGTTACATTTATATGTCACTGCCAGTTTGTCCCGCTGGTCAATCGCTGTGCTGCAATAACAAGTCAGTTCAGGTTTATATTTTGAATCTCTGGACCTTGAATCTTATAGCGAGTTTTATTTTTGCTGTGGCACTGCAATGCAGATCCCATGGGTGAGTCAGCTGAGGAAACATGGAGAAAATATGGAAAAGTAAAGAACTTCTTTCTTTCCTTCTATAACAGGTGCAGAAGTTTTATTCATATGGGGGAAGCTTATAATTTGCTTGATTGTTGTTGGAGCCAAGTGGCAGTGATGTGCAAAGGTTTGAAATTAAAGTTTCTGTATCTTTTGCAAACATTTAAAGTGGTCTTTATTAGTAGTTTTCCATGCTTTCTTGTAATCTTTTCTTTCCGGTTAAAACTAATTTTACCAATGTCTGCAAACATCAATCAAACTGAAAACACTATGTAATTCTGGAAAGTATTGATTTTTATTTTCCATTTAGTGTTTTATTTCATACACTAAAATAAAAGCTGTGGCTGACTTTCCAATGCAAATATTGCAAAACTTTGTTGACGTTCCACTAATTTTGAAAAAAACCCACCCACAATTTTGCAATTGTGTTTCCATTAAATAAAAAACAATTAAATTGACTCATGATTAAGTTTGTTCTTAATAAATCATTAAAAAAACATGTGATGTTGTCATCCTACCACTTCCTGTCGTCTTCTTCGTCGTTTCTGCCAGTAGTAACTTCTGGTTGTTTGAGAAAGAAACACTTAGTTCCAAGGCAAAAACATTAAAATTGTTCAAAAGTGGCATTTGCATTAAGTGAATTTACAATTTGCACACTTATATGGTGGATGAAAACGCAGCTAGTGTGAAGTCTGATGCTTGTTTTGTGAGTTTCTTAAAGACGAGAATGTTGTAGTTTGTCCTGATAAAACCCTTGAATAGAAAGTGACTGTACTTTTTGTATTTGAACAAGTCGACCATTTCAGTGTTTTATTAAAGTCCCATTGATCTTCCTGAAGGGACTCTATTGTTGGTTTGTCTCTGTGGACTTTATTTAATAAATGATGTGAATTTGTATCAACTTCAGCTGGTGGACCAACATCCACTCGTTACTTTTCAATCGCTATAAAACATTTTAAAAAGCTGAGCTGGCTTTTTAAAAATATATCTTCTCCCTCACATCCGGGATGAAATGATGCACTTCAGTGAGCGGAGATTAAGAGGTAATCTCTGCAAATTGACTGATGAAGGAGGAGGAGAGGCCTTCGTATACTTGGATCTTAAGGGAAGATGTTACACTGAGTCATTAGCCTTGAATCAAAAAGGCAAAGATTGAATTTAACACTTTCTTCAAAGTCCCTTTGCTGCTTTGAAAGCTTTCAATTCTCAGATCTACTTTCCTGACTCATAATTTGTTCCAAATTAGCTTAAACTTGGAAGGTAATTAAGACTTAAAATTAAAGTATTTACTCTGTAAAGGTTGAATCGGCCGTGTTGTTCTTTGATAGAGAATTTTCTTTGGTAGATAATGGCTGTTATTTGAAAATAAAAAGTGGCTGTGAAACGTCTCAGAGAGACAAGACCCTTTTTCTGCAGGCCACCAACCAATTAAAGGACGTAAATTAGATTTCTCCTGCTTGTACTGCTATTTATTTATATGCGGGCAGCATACATCATTTTATTAAGCTTTTAGAAGGATTGTAGAAAAATATGCTAATTTACACCTGGACAGGTAGAAGTCTGATTTTATAGGTCACGATTTGGTGAAAAGCCAGTTTAGTAATTAATTAAATACATGTTTTATTTTTCAGATCAGATCACTAAAACCAAACAAAAACTGCAAACCAACAGACAATTTCTATTCCTTCATTAACATTGACTTCAAATCTGCGTATTTAGCAGCCATATTTTAGCCAAATGTTAAAACGTATTATAGTCTCATGTGGTAAACTACTCCAGTAACTTCACTTCACATTCATAAAGCAAAAAAACACTTGTTTATAAATAAATATGTTTATTTCTGTGTTCATGTGCCCCCTTTTTGAATGCCGCCCTGGGCAACTGCCGATATACCAGGCATTGCTTTGCTGTATAAAAAAATCTTGTTTTGTTTTCCAAAATTAAAAACTGCATCCTTAAAAAGTCTTAATTTCATATATCTATAATCAAGACATTAAAATGTCTTTAATTTTAAAAAGTTGCTCTTAAATGTGTTAATCACATATGTTGAATTCTGTTATGGAAAAAATATTTATTTAATCTCAGATATTACATGTAATTTCCCTTTTTCTCATGTGACTTTACTGCTACGTTCTGTGACGCAACGCGGTTGCAGGTCTTGGTAGCTAGCTGCTAATATCCCGTTGCTAGCTAGTTAGCTTTTCACCAGTTGGTTGAATGATGTTCACATTCATTATTGGGTCACTTCTGCTGTGAGCACATACGATTTATTTATTTGCATTTGTTTTTTTGTACATTTCTGTTTTGTTACAGGTTTTAAATTATGTTTACAATGGTCTTAAAAAGTCTTAAATTTGAGTTGGTGAAACTTGCGCTGGTTTTACAGCGCCACAGTCTGGCCGCAGATTTGTTCTATGTCAACATTTGGATTTGCAGCCAGTGAATCGCGTAAAATATTATCTCCAGGTTTTGCTTATTGCTTCCTTTCTCTCCACAGAGGAAGTCTCTTATCGCCACCAGCCTGATTGTGGTGGTTTCGCTCTTTGTGGTCGTGGTGAACTTCTCGCAGAACTTCCTCCTGCAGCCTGTGTTTGGTGAGACGTTCAGCAACCACTGGATGTTCTCCAAGCAGTCATACAAGGCTTTCAAGCCTCACCTTGGCTACGTCAGCATCCCGAAACAGGAGGTGAGAGACATACGTAATGAAAATCAACAGCTGAAATTTATGTTTTTTCCACATTTAGTGTTCATTCACACCAGCTCTGATTCATCTAACTCCAGTTCTTTTATCTGGAAAGTTCATTTTGTTTGTGAAAGCTGATCAAACTCTGATGCGGACCAAGAAACGTCAACTCTGGTCCACCTAAAAACCTGCATTTTTGTTCAGTTGAAATGAATGTTGAAAAAACAAAATTTTTAATTGCGGTGTTTCCTTTAAATAAAAAATTGGAATTAAAATTACACATGAATATGTTTGTTCATGTGATAAGTCATTAAAAAACATCATTTTCCTAAAACTTCCTGTTGTTTTCTTCTTTGTAGTTTCCACCAGTAGTAACATCTTGTTAATGCAAGAAAAGTGGAAAAAAAACAACAAAACAGATTTTTTCTAAACTGGCATGTTTTATTGATCAGATGTATTTTTAAAATGTCTTTTTGTCATTTTTGACCATTACATTTTCATCTTGCACTGTGAGGGATCTTGGCATGATGTGTGAGGCGTCCATCACGCCAAGTAAAGGTTAATGTGTTTCCACCAGAAGCCTTTTATGTAAATTAACCCCACTATTAAGAGGTCTTCTCAAAGCCACAGTTTGTCCCCCCATTTCCTTGAATTCTTCTACATTGTGTCTGTTTGAGCACATTAATCTCAACATGATGTTTCTCGTGATCGGATTCGAAACTTTTGACTTATTTTAGTCCAGACAGCAATCTTGTTTCCAATCTTCAGTTCAGCTTGATGCCCATTTTGTAAATTATGTCCCGTTTTGAGTAAAATGGCCTTTGGAGCTGCTTTCTGAATGACAAACAGCTGCACAGGCTGCATCCTTTTCTCACTTTTAGTTTTATTTTCTTGGTCAAAATCTTCAGATCACATAAATATTGAATAGATTCGTGTTTATAGTTCATCTCATCTCCGATCCACAGGAAGAGATTATGAAATGCAAACATAGCATCTTCGTAAAGATTTCCTTAATTCACTGTAACTGTGCAACTGATCCCAAAATGTCTCGTCTGATGTTTTGTCTGCAATACAAGTAGCCAAAAATATTACTCAAATAAAAGTAAAAAGGTATTTGATTAAAAAGTCTACTCAAGTACTGTGTAACTGATCAAAACACCAATCATTTGATATTTAAAAATCACATGGACCAAATTATAAAGTTAAGTGTAAATGTTGGTATTTTAAGGATTAAAATGACAATAATTCATATCAGTAGCAACAAAATGAACAAAATCATTCAACAGAAAAGTTTTTTTAAAATAAAAAAGTTGATGAAACCTTAACAAAAACTGCAGGTGTGAGTCTGAGTTTTGGTTAAAACATGTTTGTTTTTCATCAGTGGGTAGAAAATCCAGAAATTTTACTTGGGTAAAAGTATCAATACCTCATAAAAGTAAAAATAAAAAGTACAGCGTAATAAAAAATACTCCTAAAAGTACATTTTAAATGTAACTGTACCTAAATCTGGCCATATTTCTGTGTAAACACAAACAGCCTTGACTGCCTTCAAACTGCTTCTTATTATCTTTCCATTGTAATTTATGTAAATTGAAACATCAAATCATTTTTAGTGATCTAAAAAGGATTAGAATGCTAACAAATAAAATAATAAATAGCCACACAAATAAATAAAAGATCTGTAGAGCAAAAGGTGAAGGAGGATGAGGATAAAAAACATGAAGGTTTTAGTTTGCAGGCGCGTTTCAGAGTAGCAGAAGACGCTTCGTCCTTCGTGAGAAGTGGATGTCTTGCATTTGAGGGGAAAAAAAAAAGGTTGATATTGGCAGATTAATGCGCAGCATCTTCCTCTTCCTCTGGAGACTTTCATCCACAAAACACGGGCCCAGAGGCAATCATGCATTACACCAATCTCTACGTCTGCGCCTCCTCCAGCCTTCAGACGAGCCTGCTTAAATCACCGGCCTCTCCCTATGGAGATTTAGGGAAGTCATTGGAAAAGAAAGGCAGGCTCTGCAGAATTACTTTTGCTTCTTTCGCTCTTTCCCTGCTAGTTCTTTGCTGTGAACTTGAATGGTAAGCGATGGGCTTTAACGTCTGCGGTAGCTTTTGAGCAACAGACCAGCATGGAGAGGCAGAGATGTTTCTGTTTGACGGTGTTACCTGATCCACCCAACGGTGTCATTTCCCTGGCATGTATTATGCATAGCCTGGCAGAAGCGGAAGCTGCCTTCGCTCCCGGCCTTATTTTCCTCATTTGATTGAGTCTGTCTGCAGGTGTGATTTATTGTTCCTGTTCTGCTTTCTCTGAGAAATGCAAAACATTTGTCTTGCAGCACTTTGCATTCATGCCCTCCGGTCCGTCACACGCCGAGCAGAAACTTTTGCATGCTGATTTTTGCCTGTTCGCTTTGTCAAATGAATGAAATGTTAAGTTCTTCTGGATGCTTCCTGTTAAAGCTGCAGTATTTAATTTTTATTAAAAAATATGTTTTCTGTGTTATGTTAATATGAGACACATAATCTGTGAAAAGATTGATCTGTTCCACTTCTTTCCTTCCTTCTTTACTTCTGACCAAAAACAACCAGTCAGAGTCAGGAGGCGGGTCTTAGCGCTGTCAATTACACTCATGTATTCACTGCCAAATGTGCTGATGGCAGAGAAACAACTGTCATCGGTGGCCAAGCTAACTAGCCTTAGCATTCACAACATTCTATGCTATCAGGAACAGCAGAGAGAAACAGAGGCGAGTGATTGACAGCACTAAGACCCGCCTCCTTGCTCTGATTGGTTGTTTCTTGTTAGCACTGGAAGAAGGCTCCATTTTTCCACAGATTTGCCTCATTTTATACTGTCATGACATAGTGACACTTTCAGAAAACATGAAAAATATATATATATATATATATATATATATTATTTCTACAAAAGTTACATTCTGCAACTTTAGAGAAATTTTTCAATTTTATCAGGTTTATAGAAGCATTTGCTCAGATATTTTCAGATTTCCCTTCTGTCGTCTTTAATGCTCTTAATTCAAACAAGAGATTGACTAAACTGCATTGCCCAAGCCAAACTTGTTCTCCTAATTAGCAAAGTAATTATTTATTAATCAGTTAGTGGAGAAACTCGAAGTCTTTCCTCTGTGAGTTGAATTAAAATCAGGGTTTCTGAATGTTTAAAAACCTCTGAGATTAAAATAAGAAGCTGTTTTATTAGCTTCTGATCAATTTACTTTCAGTCTGAGTTATTAGTTAATTAAAGTTGTTGGTTTTTGCAAGTTGCAGATTTTATGACCTGGATTTTGATGTTAAATCAAAAATTGGTTTTAATTGCATTTCTCAGCGTTTCTTGTTGATTTTATTTTGTTTGCCTTTGACCATTAAAAACAAGACTGTTTAGCCAGAGATGCGTCAGGGAATCGTCTGAACTGTTAACTAACTTTTCCTTTAAGTTGAGATTTTGCAGAAGATTCAACTGGTATTTTTTGCCCAAATCGTTTCAAGGATTCAGTCTTTTTCGCCCTCTTATATTATCCAGCTTAATTTGGAAGATTTATTTGCACAGAGAGAAATAAGCGCTAAAAATAATTATTTGACGGCAGCAGAATTAGATCTCTGCACGACGGCAAAGACTATTTTTGTAAGAAGGACTTTAAATTCCCACAGAGACACTGCGATTTGCAGCTTGTTAATGCAATCATTATTACTTATTAATTAATTGAGTTTAAAGCAACTTAGCGAACGTCAAGGTTAAGTTCACAGCCCAGCGCTTTAATTTAACGACGACTATGGCTGCAGCTTTTATTTTTAAATAACCCACTTCATATTTCCACACTCATGGCTTCATATCAGAGGCTCTGCTGAGTGCTGGGATTAGTGGGATTATAAAAATGCACTTTGTTGTGATTACTGGTAGTTTACATTTCATGGAATCACAAAGATTTGTTTGTATCTTGATTCCAGGATTCGTTCTCATTAGACCAGCTTTTATACATCTATTTCCGACTGGAGCCAGATGTTTACATACACTTTATAAAAATAAAACTATCTCTGTTCTGGCTCAGTTTGGATTATCAAAATTATTTGTTATCTAATTTCTTCACAGTTAAAAACTTACACTCACTTGCGGGTAAGGTATGGTAATTGAATTTATACACAACTTAGAAGAAAATACAAATGAAACAACAAAACCAAAAGAAGGACAAAAAGCTAAAAGTACAAAACCAAATGTTGATTCCTGATGTATCAAACTACCGAGGGTCTCCTGATCTTTAGTTTGTTTGCTCTGGATTAGAGGGGTATAAAACTAAATGTTGTTTAAGTATAAATCTAAATGTTGGTTCTCCAGGTTTGATTCTTGTTCTGGGTTACGAAGTAAACTAAAAGTAGTTGCTCCAATATTAAAAGTATAAAGCTAAATGTTGGTTGGTTCTCCATTTAACAAAGGTTGATTGGCTATTCAGAAGAAGCCAGATCTTGCTCAGATATTAGTATTTTTAGTCGTGGAAGTGTTCTTCAGGTGATAAAAGGCCGACTTTGTAATCGTCTTTATATGTCTCTGAAGGTTCAGGTCAGATTTTATGCCTGGTCGCGAGTTTCTAGCTGTAATATCTGAAGCTGTGTGCTGATTAAAAAAAAAAGAAGTTTAAGAACAGGTTTGAGTCAAATCAACCTAAAGCCTCAAGTCATTTCAGATTAAGAGGCGTCAAAAGTTCAACTGATTTTATCTCAGGAAAAAGAAATCACAGACTCTCGTTTGAAAGGGAAGGTTTTTAAAGTTTTATTCAGTTATAAATACTGTGACAGTCGACAAGTGATTATAAAGAAATGTGTGTGTGTGTGTGTGTTATTGCTTCAAAGTTAACTGAGGAGTTGCGATTTGTCAGTTAGCTCTACCTAAATCCAAAGTTTACAGTTCTAATTAAAGATTAAGCACTTTATGACTTCCTTTAGTGTCTATCTGTGCAGCTTCTGCAGGGCTATGCAACAGTTCATAAAATACAGCCCTGGGAAAGGCAGTTAATTAGAACAGAGACCCAAGAGAACCTAAATTTATCACATTGTGAAATGCTGCTGAGCCTTATCTCTGGGTTTTACAGCTTTAGAACAATGTCTGCACGTTTTCCATCACTGAAAAGCTGAAAGTGCAGAAAACTTGCTGGAAATGTTCGCCTTCTGTATATATCTTGACCTCACCAAAGACAACGAAAGACACAATAGGTTAACAAGGGGTAAATGATAACGGGCTTGTGAAAGGGTCATGATGCAAATACAGAACATTCATCATTTCAATGGAAAGAATTTCAGACAGATAATACCAACCAGCCAATTGCAAACTGATTGGTATACTGTCCAGTTTGCTCAAATATAGGAGGATTTTTTTTATTTGATTTGGAAGTATTTGACCTTTAGAATATCTGAAGACCTTGAAAGGACATTACTGAAATATAGAATTACTCATTTATGTGAAGATCAATCAGTCGCTTAACTTGAAGGCAGGAATTAGGCGACTTTTTCAATTATTTACATGAAAGGTCTGAAAAGAAGAGACGCATTATCGTGGTCTGTTCTGGTACAGATGGATGGTTGGATGGTAGGATTGTTGATTGGTAGGACGGCTGGATGGTTGGTTAGTTGGTTGGATGTTACGTGGTTGGATGAACAGATTTTTGGTTAAACAGATGGTTGGATGGATGGATGGATGGTAAGTTCTTTGAATGAACAGATGATTAGATGGTTAGTTGGTTGGATGGTTACATGGTTGGATGAACAGATGGTTGCTGGATGGATGGTTGGATGAATAGATGGTTGATGGATGGATGGTTAGTTCTTTGAATGAACAGATGGTTAGATGGTTGGATGGTTACATGGTTGGATGAACAGATGGTTGGATAAATAGATTGTTGGATGGATGGTTGGATGAATAGATGGTTGGATAAATAGATTGTTGGATGGCTGGTTGGACGGACAATCAAGACGTGTTTCGTAGATTAAATGTTTTATTTTCCTCCATTTTCCTGCCGTCTATAAAATCTGCCTTCTTCTTCAGATTTTTCTGTTTGCGTCTCAGTTTGTTTTGATGAGATTAATCTCACTTACACCAAAACACAGAAGCCGACGCTTTATTTAACATGCACTTAATGGAGATTCAGTGAAATGTCCCTGATTTAAAGATGAACAGCGGTTGTAAACATCGTCACAGTAGATAATCTAGCAGATTCTCTCATTACCACTTGGCTTATCTGAGCTCACGACTCGACGGCGAGCTTACAGGAGATCAGCCCCTAAAATGAAACAAAAACATCTCCTTTCTCAAGAGACATCAATCTTCTGTAAATTACTCCATCTTCTGTTTTCTTTTTTCTCTCCCCTCTCATCTGTGGATGCAATCAGAGGGTTATGAAATAATCTCGGCACCTGGCCGGGTCACTCTGCAGCCGAAGAGCTGCCTTGAGCTGTCAGCCGCTCATCCATCATCGCAGGCCGCCCTCATAACTCCATCACGCCTTTCAGCGCACACAGATTGGCTCAGCTCAGTGGGAAACGCTGAAATAAAGCCCACAAAGCTGCCTGTGGAGACACCCTTGAGCAAGGCATTTGACCCTCCGCTGCAGCCCAAGCACTTATTAAAGGTGACCTATCATGCGTCCTTCAGCACATTAAAAGAAATCTGACTTTATTTTGAGTTTTTTGGGCCTCCTGTCACTTTAAATCCAAATAAGCTGCCACTGTCCACCCCCCATCCCAACTCAATGTTTATTACTTCTACTTTGAAAAGCAAAAGTGGGACCTGCTGCCCAACCAACAAGAATGCAGCAAGTGGTTTCTGGATGGTAAATCAACATGTTGTCTTTTCATTTTTGCTGCTGAAGTTAAATGTGAATTCTAACTAAACTAAACTAAGCCAGAAGTGGAGCCTCTTGCACAACCACAAGAATTCAGCAAGAGGCTGAATTCTCTTGCTGAACAATAACAAAAATTACATATATCCTGCCCGTCGTCTTTCATTTTGTTTTTTTTTTGCTTGTTTTTGTTATTTTGTTTTCATTTAATTTTGACAGGTTATAGGCTGCAACTTTGCAGGGGTTGCTAGGTAACGGTGCAGCGCCTCTTAAACGTGACTCAACAATTGGGAAGTTTTTGAAATGGCTCATTTTCCAGACACCAAAAAACATGAACTTATTGCCAAAATATGTTTTTTTTTTAAGTGCCTGGGCACAAATGAAAATAATAATAAAAAAAAATAAATAATTTTCTTAATAGGTCCTTTCTAAATGTAGACAAAGCTTTTGAATGGCTTGGATCAAATTGTATTTATGTGCCAGAATGGTCCAGTCAAAGTCCAGCGCTTGAAACAAAAGTTTAAAATTAATGTTCACATCTCAATATGAAATGTCAGTCAAAATGTACAGAGCTGGTGGAGATATTGACGTTACTTTGGTTATGCAGTGGAAGAAGCTATTTTTGCTTTCTTACTGGAAAAAGAGTAAAGTTTTGGCTGACCCTTCAGATTCTTCAGTTCTGAACTCTATCTCTTACTAAACTTGAGAGTTTATTTATTTTTGCTTGAACTATTGACTTGATTTCTCTGCAAATCATCTACTAAAATAAAATCCACCAAACTTTTGCTCTTCAAATCGATATATTTTTAGGAGAGGAAGCTGGCTGCTTTTCTGTAGCTGACCCTGATCTTTAACCTTTAGAAAATAATTTAAAAACATATTTTTCTGTTTTTTCCCCCCCAGCCATTGAAGCTGAACTGCGAGCTGTGCAGCATCGTGTCCAGCTCCGGTCAGATGTTGGGCCAGGCTGCCGGCGCGCAGATCGACCGCTCTCCCTGCATCTGGCGCATGAACAACGCTCCCACGCGAGGGTTCGAAAACGACGTCGGGCGGCGGACAACGCTCAGGGTCGTCTCTCACACCAGCGTCCCGCTGCTGCTGCAGAAACCACAGCACTTCTTCGGCCAGGGCAACGACACCGTGTACGTGGTGTGGGGGCCGCTGCGGAACATGAGGAAGGACGGGAAGGGCATCGTGTACAACATGCTGCGCCAGGCGTCTGAGAACTACCCGCACGCTCGCATCTACGCCACCACAGAGGACCGGATGAACTACTGCGACATGGTGTTCAAGAAGGAGACGGGAAAAGACAGGTGAGACCAACAGCACTTCCTGTTCGCTCGGCACAAAGGAGTTAAGATCAAGTATCGAAATAATCAGCACCTAATTTAATCAATCAAGTTTTAAGTTTATTTGTGCAGCACATTCTGGGGTGTGGATAAGACTGGCATGTCAACTCTCCATTATTTGAAGTTCAATTATTTGTTCATTAGCACTATTTACATACTTTTTGTATTGTATAAAATAAGCTTAAGCAGCTCAATGTAAAAATCAGCTGATTTAAAAAAAAAATCTGATTACTGGTCAGAATAATTGATTAGTAAAATAATCAATAGCTGCAGCCCTACTCCTGATTTCTGTTTGTCTGTTTTGCCATGAGGTCTTCTAAATTTAGCAGTTCAGATCATCTCGTCTCTGATCTTTCATCAGAGTTGGATTTACTTGTAAAGAGGTTCAAAGTGACACATGAGGCCGTTTAAGAGTAGCTGTGGAGAGCAGCCGCAGAGGGAAGGAGATGATCCAAAACTGTTGGTCTGGGGAAACGCTGGTTAATTAGGCAGCTCGGGTTTGGCACTCCTTCTGAGATCCAGCTGCCCTAACAGATTGACTCGCTCCATTTTCTGTAAAATAAATAAAAAAACTCAGAATTAAAGCTGCAGGTCAGTTTTCTGTGAGATAAACAATAATTTTTATCAACAGTTGACCTAAACGTGTGTAATGTTCCACCTTAAAGTGAACAAATTATGTTTTTTTTTTTACAAAGTTTCATCTTTACTTGCGTTCAGGATTTTTATTTAGCTCATAATCTAAAAGACAACAGTGTATTTATTTCTCTGACATATTCAGACATGGATATTTAATTACTTCTATGTATAATTCATAATCTTGTGTGTATATATATATATATATATATATATATATATATATATATATATATATATATATATATATATATATATATATATATATATATTGCCTAAAAATATTGCAGAACTAAACAAATTTAAATGAAAATTAAAAAATCTGCACAAAAACATAAAGATTGATTGCTGATAATTATTTAGACAGATTATCAACAAACTTACTTTAAATAGTTACTTCTAGTATTTATAGGTTTTCTGGATCTAAAATATATTTGCCTTTTTAAGACCAACTCATGATTAGAGATTCACTGATCCGACATCAATATCTATATCGATCCTGATATTTTAAAAAAATTCTAGATTTTGTGTCGGTGACAATATGCCTGATCTATAGGGGAGGTTCTATTCAGTCTAATTCTATATTTTCTGCTCTGAGCGACATCATGCGTTATTTATTTTACATTATATTTAGAATTTCTTATCGTACTTTCTGAAAAATCTAACAGGTTTTTCAGAAAGTATTTTTTACATGTTTGACCAAAATAATCAACTTCTTGTGTTTTGGTTTCATGTCTGAATGTCTGCAGCTAACAATAGTTGCCCCACTGTTGCCAACTCTGCAACTTTCCTGTGATATTTATCAACATTTCAGTCAAAAACAAATCATAATTGGCAGGTCAGGCTTTTTACAGATCGGTAATCTATCTTGCAATCGGTGCATTCCTATCAGATACATTTTAATTAGTTTATTGAAGCATATTTCATTCTTTCAGTGTTTTTAGGTTGGGATATATTTGCCCTTTAAAAGCTGCTCATGTTGTTCCTCTTTGTCTGCTGATCCGCCTGAGAGAATTGCAGGTTAATGACTGCAGGAAGGCGGCTGCAGGCGTGCCATTGTTGAGGACAAACCTCATTTCTTCCTGCTCATCTCCGCAGAGCGCCGCTCTCCTGCCGCTCCCCTATGCCATCAAGACCTCTCTTAACTTCTTAAGAGGATTAACATGTTCGGTAATATGCGTAGCATCCATTTCATTTCAGCTCCATTGTGCGGTTCTCATTCAGGATGGCAGCAATAACACTGAATTTCATGTTCGGCGTCCCGGTTTGAGTGCGGCTCAGCTGTGCAGAAACCCAGACAGCGCAGCTAGAGGTGCAGGATTAGGGATGGATGCTCAGGGAGAGGAATCTCATTACGGGACGTTACGCTCCCGGGAAGACGCGAACCGTCAATCGATGCTGATTGGTAACACAGACTCAACTCGAAGAGCAACAATGAGGCACTTTGAATGAATATGTAATGAGTAGTTTCTCTACATGCCTGTGCCTGTCTTGTCACAATTTTGGCTGCAAACACTTCAGCGCTCTGACACAATGAATATCCACGGAAACAGTTTTCAAATTGGGTTATACGGCGTGTAGCTTACTGTAATCAGAAGGGAATAACTGCTGTCATTAGCTGGAGCTAATTCAAACTGATCCAACCCTGCAGCTCTTTGTTGCTCTCTTAGCTAACTTCAGACCCGAGTCCAGAAAAAAACCCTCTAAAGAGCGCATTACTGGAGCAGCTCCTCCGTAATTTGTATTTGTGCATGCAGTGGCGTACTGTCAGCGCCTCCATACTGGTGCATGGATAATAATCAGCCTGGAAAAGAAAGAAAAGAGGGAACAGAGATCAACACTACTTCTAATTATCCACATTGCCGCCAGCAGATGAGAAGATGTGGCGTTTCAGCTTCCACTTGCATGCCTGATCAAGACAAACGCCGTGTCAGAGCTGAACACGCTGCAAAAATACAAAACCTTACCAAGTAATTTTGATCTAGTTTCTAGTGTAAATATCTTGGTGTGCTTGAAATAAGACAAAACTAACTTATATATAACTTTTCAGCAAGATATAGGAGCTGGTTTTAAGTAAATAATTGCAGAATATTAGTGTTAAAGTTCTAGTTCCACTCATTTATAACTAGATGTGCCTTGATTGCAGTTTTCTGCTCGATTACTGATTACGATCTTTGACAAGCCTGAACTGCTGATTCAGATTTTGGCTGAAACTAATTGTATTTTGTCTGAATTATTGCTAAATATAGCAAGAAAGTCACTAAGTTGGTAGCAACTGTTGTTAATTTGTTAACTGTTAACAGGTCAAGCTTTTAAAAGATCGGTAATCCACGATCGGCCAGAAACTACCAATTGGTGCACCCCTACCTTTTTTATTTGTTTTTCCAGATAAAAATCTCAGATCACAAACTATTCTAAAGAATCTAATTACTGTGTGTCTCTCATTGTTACACCAGGTCATTTATTTTGACATTCATGCTGAGAATCATGTGAGGTATAGAAAGTACCTTTAAGTTTAGAGGATTGATGACTGAGATGAAACAGCGTTTGTTGCCTCTGATCATCCTGATTCTCTCCAAGCAATAAGGAGGGAATTCATCGTAACATATAATGATAAAAAGCTGTGACTGTAAATGTGTGCGACAGCCTCCTCAGCCTGTGATTCATGTAAGTGTGGGCTGCGGCCGGATGTCGGACAGGCCGAGCCGCTCCGTTATCAGCTCTGCCTCCTGTGGTTGTCAGAGCGTATCGGCGCGCTCCTGTAAGCGGCGGCAGATAACGGACCTGACGAAGACACCGCACTTAAATCACATTGTCACTTTACAGCGGCTGTGTGGCCGGGGTCTCCGCCTCCCATCCGCACACTTCTCCTCAAACTGGGGCTTTGCTGTTTCCAGCAGCTTTGAGTTGATTCAGCCTTCATCACTCTTAAATTATTGAAATCTATCACACACTCGCCAGTTTCTTTCTACAGTCTTAATGCCTGCCAGGGAAATTAAGGTTTTAAAGGGGTAAAGATGGGATCTATGCGTGACACAAAACATGTTCATTATATTTTTTCTTTTTTGCACAAAATATTCTTGAAAGATGAGATATCAGTTTGCTTAGTTCAGCCTATTGTGAGGAATTGTATGGCCTCTAGTCACTTATTTCCAAATAAACTGCTTTGGTCTAGTTTATAGCGCAAATATCTTATTTCACCTAAAGTAAGGCAAGGCTAACTTACAAGTAACTTTACAGCAAAATATAGGAGCTTACAAGTCAATAATTTACCAATATTTGTTAAAAAAGTACAAGTTCCATTGGCGGTTTATTTCACTTATAACCAAAAAGTTTTGAAATACTGCGCTGGTGAATTGGTGTCAAATACGTCACCAGAAGCACACGCTCTTCTGCATCCTGCCTGCAGTTTATCAGGAAATACTGCAATGTTCCTGTATTTAACTGGTTGTATATTTATTTATTCAATTAATTCAAAAAACAAACACCATATTTCTCTCTAGCTGTATATCTGTGCAAATAGGAAATACTGACTTAAATTTGCTTAAACACCAATTTGCTCGTATTTCACAAACTGCAATGGAAGCTCTTTTTTTCTGTGTCACATAGGAGGTCACATGACCAACAACCCGGATGTTACCACTGCTGAAAACTATGAAGAAGACAACAGGAAGTAGTTGGAAGATGAAGGCACAGAATGTTTGTTTTTTTTTCGTTTGTGTGATAAAACTTATTTACACATGATTTAAATTTTTTCTTATTTAATGGAAACACTACAATTATGAAATTGTGTTTATTCAACATTTGTGGCATACCTACAAAGTTTTGACAAGGAAATGCAGCTAATAACAAATTTTAAAGATATGTTCTGGATCAGATGTTATATCGCCAACAATTACAAAAAAAAACCTGATATATTTTTTTTACACATTAAAAAAATAAGTGAGTTGATGAATTATGAATTAAAAAATAAAAATGACAGAAAAGTTTGAGAAAAAAAAAACATCCATAAGTAAAAAACTTCTCAGCAACAAAGATGTCATTTAGTCATGGCTCATTTATCTCTGTGTAATAGAAATCACCCTGAAACGCAGAAAGCATGAAATTATATAACTTTTTTTTCTTTTTTCTTATTTTACAACATCCATTTCATTCAACTTTAACTCCTACTGAGAGTTAAATGGAATAGGAGGCAGAATGGCAGCAATAAAATCTTAGATGACAAGCTGAATTTTCTTCTGATGAGGCTTTTTTTCTGTTTGTTGAAGCATAAAAAGCAGAATCTGCTGCAGATATTCTAGTTGCGATTAAATATGAATGCGTAAAAATGA